ATTCCGAAGCCGGGAAACCTAGGCCGGATTAGAACGCCAAGGCACGTATTATGCGTGTGAGTCCTGCTGCGAACATCGCCATCGCCAGTCTTCGAAAGTGAAGGCAGTGCTGAAGATTGTCAGACTGTGAGGGACGAGGAGTGGCTGAAACGTATAGAATGATGCGTCTGAGGGAAAATGCATAGCTCCCTCTGCTTACAAAAGAAAGCGGCTGCGGGATAGATGAATCTTGAACATGCGGATTATTGACCAGCTTTGACAACACACCAATTTCTGTCTTTCGCTTCCTGTTGGATCCACAGGAGGAGAAGGCTTGCATACGGTGGGCAGAGATATCGCTCAGGTGACGCGGACTAGCCAAGGACCAGCGCGTCCATACGGATAAACCAGTTCTGATTCGCGGGCTATCAGCTATCCTTTGAAACATATGGCACGCGCTGAAGCCGAAGCCGAGGTGCTAGGACCGACTAGGACCGATACGTTGTCCCGTAACTTATGCACGTTTTCTAAACATACGTAAATTTCCGTACAAATTACTCAGACTAGATGTCATGCACCATGGTTTTTTTGTGTAGGCGTAAGTATTAACAAAAAAAATACTGCAATGGTCCAGATATTCGAAAAAAAAACCTGCTTTCCTGTAGTTCGCCATTGGAGGGATAGCCGCTTATGGTATTTGTGCGCCAACAAGAGTAGCATGACGGAAACAGAGTTCAAGTCAGTAGACTAGCTGGTGTTGTCTGTATATCAAACAGAAATCAGTTGCCGCCTACGCCTCTCTTATATTAATACGATGGCGCACCATGATAACGTCTGTCCTCCGACCTATTGCAGCGCTGCAATGACCATGAAGCGCTTGGGCAACTTCCATTTGTTCGAAGTCCCAGCTTCATCGTTTTCAGATTACGCAACGTTCGTCTGGTATTGGTTGCCCTGATGGGATGGAGAACTGTGGGGGGGAGCAAGCGAGGCGGTCGTAAGTCATCGATAATGGAAAATGTACGACGGAAAACTGGAAAACTGGATTTATTGGCCACCTCTGCTGATACAGCTCAGGACGGGTTCAAAGTTCGCCTGTATCTCCGGCCCGGAAAAATCGCGTCGATGGCGTGGGAGCCGGCGACCTCCGGAGTTTCGATTGGTCTTGCGGATGCAAGTATCTCCTTTACTACGTCTATGGTGCTACTACCTATTGACTACTTAATCAAGATAAGTATTATTTATCAGCCACCTTGATCAGTGTTATCGATAGTATAAGTATTTCAAGAGTGAATACAAAGGGACACACTAGCTATTTAGAAATTTGATTCGCCAAAGGACTGTGCTCGTGAATGCCATTCGCGATTGCCTTACGCCTACAAAACGAAATTTATTCACGATGCCCTAGTTTCTCGAATGCCGTTGGCTTCTCCTATGTGTAGCACTTGGTATTCTTCCGTAAGTCTTTGTTAGGATTCTGCCGAAATCGGATATGCGAGCACGAGGCAAGTAGCGATGATCGAATCGAGGTAGGATTCATTAGAATGATGTATGTCGTTATGGAATAGAACGGATTCCGGCAAGGGTTCGTGAGGAGACCTGAGTGGTCCGGTTTGCGAGGTTAATGAGATCAGTAAGCGCGAAGCAATTACTGTAAGACGTAGCCAGTAAGCGCGGAGCTATTACCGAGGGGAAAACCGATACAGAAGCCTGTAAGCGCGAAGCTATTACGGGCCGTAGGTGAAGGCAAGCGCCAAGCGTAACCTTCGGATTGGTATTTGAAAGCGCTAGGCGTATGCAATGGCTTATTCAGCAAGCGCTAGGCGTAGCTGAGGGTTCACGCAGTGTGAGGGTACTGAAAGTAATAGATTGGATAATATTCTCAATACAAGTTATCTATGAGTTTTTATACTAAAGGAAGGTTCGAGTCATTATTGTTCTACAATGTCCCATAACATTCTAGTATGAGTACAAAGAATCAAGAAAGTAACAGAAAGTGAGAGAAAGTACGAGCGAGTCATCGTCAAGTCCGAGAAGGCCGAGTACAGGCATGTGTTGACTCATGCACCGAATCAACGGATACCCAATATCCATAACAGTTTTCATGCATCGCGAGGGATCTGTAAACGTCTTACCTTATTTTACAAGCACATCTACTCGTCGCTTTGATGATAGACACTCTCTTGCTATAGCACACAAATGTATAAGCACTCACCACCGTGCTCCGCTCAGCTCCTCTCGCCAAGTCCATGTAGCCAGGCTAGTCAAAGCTTCAAATACACCGCGAAGGGCGACAATGGCTGTCATAGAGCTGCTCGAGGTACGAGTCTAGAAGTCTTCAAAGGCGTAACGCTCCTCGGAAAGAGGAGTATCGAAGCCTTCCAGATAATTGAGGAAGTTAACGTGGCAGTAAATAGATGTATAAACGTGTCCGCAGGCTGTGGACATATTGGTAATATAGTACATTGAATAAATCTGTGCGATTAATGGAGAACAGGCCTTCCAAAGAGTATAGCTGGAGTTTGATACAGTAAATTGGCGTTCAGATAAGAGACGAAAATGAAAACTGCATGGGTACACAATACGTATCAAAATATGTGGGGAGCACTGATTGTTGGATAAGAAGAATCGTATGTTGCATTGAATTCCACCTACACCAAATGATTCAGCGCACAGATTAATGATAGAAAAAAGACGCGCCTACCGTGTTGTCGTAAATACTCGAAGACATAGCAAGACAATACTAACATCCCGCGAGCTGTAAGCATTTTAAGATATTGCAAAGCAGTGAAGCATACTCACATTAATCTCACTGAGCGGGCTTTGGTTATCAAAATACCCGTTAGTGGGAATCTCGAAATGAACCTGAAGTCAACGTTAAGTAAAAGGCACTCGGAGCAACAGATGCAAAGACTCACCATATATTCCGTTTCGAAGGAAGCCGCAGCGGAAAAGAAATGGCCATCGCCAGGAGAGTTCATAGGCAGAGTACTGGAATTGGACTGATGCTCTGTCGCCTCTGTCCTACACATGTACGGCTTGGGAACAGTAGGCTGAGCATGTATGGGAGAGCGTGCTTGTTGTTGAGAGACGCGCTTCTTCGGAGGCTGGACCTGGGGTGTCTTCGGTATCGGGGGCATATTCCTCACCGCGTCCTCTAAATCCGAGCCAGTCATCCCAGTCGACATCAAATGAGCAATGTCCTTGGCCCTATTGATGTGATCCTTCGATTTACGCTTAACGTTCCTCTTTCTGATCTCCGTGGCACGCTTCTGCGGTTGGAAAACGTAGTCAGGGTAGAGCTCCTCATGTCTCTTCCTTTCCTCGAGAGCACGACGATAGTAGTGAGCCTTTTCGTCCTCCGAGAGGTTCTTCCACAACTGTCCGATGATCCTGGAGAGGTGACGACTATCGTGCTCGGCGCCTTTGGGAATCAAGTTCTTGTCGACGACGTCTTTGCGGAAGATGAAGTAGCAGTTCAAAGGTCGGGGGATATGATTCTTCTTACGAGAAGGATCGCTGGTGGAGGAGAACTCGTCGGAGCGAGAAGAAGAGGAGGATGGAGATGGAGATGGAGTGTTGATGAACTCGGGTGTCGAAGGGGCGGTATCTGGGTATGGAGACGTGACAACCTTGAAGACATACTGCTGAGGTTGGCTAGCATGGATGTAGGCTGGGAACAGAGCGTCAGTACAGAGTCGGACGCGTAGTAGCAAGTCCACGTACCATAGTGCTCGTTAGAGTACTGGTGGGAGTGAGCGAAGCCGGACATGATGAGGAGGATGAGTGCGATGAAGCGAGACAAAGAAAAGAGCAGTCGGGTCCCCCCATTTTATATTTGCGAGCACAGGCATTCTCGACATGACGATCACAGAGAGAGGTTGAATGCGATCAAAAACTCATTCACGTCTGACAGCTCGTCGTCCAGAAAGGCAATTGTGTGACGTTCCTGGAGGGTACCCTTTCACATGTTCGTTAACTGAGTGGTAAAGTTCGCACGATTGTTATAAAAGTGACAAAGTGAAGGGGCTGGCCGAAAACAGGTGAATGCAAAATCAAATGCGGAACGTGATCCTTCTACTCCTAATTTAATTCTCTGAACTTCGTAATAACACGGCAGATTCGGACTTGGTGGATACTCGCACGACAAATCTTGGAAGGCGTAGACGGTGCCGTTGAACAAGATGGGGCACTATTGAAGGTACTGAAGCTTGCCGATGTCCGGTTGCGGACCGTCGTAGACACATAAAGCATCCGAACGATGACCTGAGGACTGTTGAATAGCCAGTCGTTGATAGCGTCGTTCTCCCATTGTTGCTCGAGTCAGCAATCTAAGAGGAATAAACACGGCGACATGAAGGAATACTTATCCGTACTGTACATACTAGACCATAGACACCAGCAAAGAAATGGACGATCACTGAACTGTGTGTTTAGGAACGCAGAACGCTCAGCCTTAAGAATCAAACTCGAAAAGTACAGTTATCAACCGGTCTTCTGTACATCAAAACTTGATATCGAATTTTTCGTTTTCATTGGCTGTTCCTCGTAATTGTGTCTGGTACAAAAGTTTTCTATATGGCTGTACATGATATAAAAATATTTTCGTGAATTTAGAATAATGTGCCGAGGCCCAGTGAGCGATTTATGGGTGTACAAATGAATGGTCTTACATAATATATTCTGAGCCCTGACTTCAGAGGCCCACCACAGTTCACACAATACACGTACAGGCCCAGAAAGTATCTCAATTTGAAGTATACATTTGATACTTAATTTTAAGTCTCAACATCGCCCGAGAATAGGGAGGAATGATGTTCTATATGGTGTACAAAGGAGTAGTGGTGTACAGAAGACCGGTTGATTACTGTAAACGGAATATTACCATGGGAAATATAGTCACTAGATATGTGCTCCTCCGTTGGCCTGGCCATTTTATCTGCGCTGTTCATGTCAAGTTGCACTTCATCTGGCTTTCGATTTGTAGCATTGTAAAAACCGACGCTCAATATTTGCGCGTTGCCTGCCTAGCTCAATCGGATAGAGCGTCAGACTCTTATGCAGGTTGGCTAGCTATATATCTTGATCTGAAGGCTGCGAGTTCGACCCTCGCGGTGGGCTCTTTGGTTATTTTTGCCCTCTCCAAGACCTTCGTAGTATATCTTCTTGAATCTTCTCAGTTCTGTTCCTTTATTATTTAAGAGTCGAGTTTTAGTCCTCGGCTACCTGTGCTAGAATTCCTCCCCTACACACACTTTTTTTCTGGTACTTAGCACTGCATTCTGGTTTGTGTTTAATCTTTTCTGAAAGTCCGTATCTTCCATCTTCTACAACTGGAACTTGGAACTAAAATTACTTGAGCTCGAGACATGGCTACAATCCATCGTGTACACAATAAATAAATGAAGGTAGGCCTGCAGACCATAGAATCGACGCGCACAAGATGTCAGCTTCGCCACAACAGCTGTGTGAGGGGGTTTCTCAAATGAATGATACTCCAATTACACCAGGAAGTCGACTGTGTGCGGATGCAAAAGTTAAAACAGTACAATGGATGACTAGACTGTTAGACAGTGTGGTGATAAATTATCAACAATCTTCGTGGCCTACTTGTACAATCAGTGGAGTACAACTATCCAGGTATAACTCCCGCTTCAGGGGCAAGGTCAAGTCCTTATCCCTCTCCCTTTGACGCTCCCACATAGTAATGTCCATTTCGTAGTAGCTGTTCTCAGCCGCAAAAGCATAATCGTCGTCATCTGGGTCGGAGTTTTCGTCTAAGCCAGGAATGTCGAGCTGGGGATCATCTAAAATGCATGTCGTAGTTTGCGGGTCACAAGACCTCCAATTGAGTGGTCCATCACTTGTCCCCTCATACAAAGCCGTGAATAAACACCTAAACGACCGGTAGTCGGGAAGCTGACTGAAATCAATAGAACGGCTGTAATCAAGCAGGTCACCGAATTCAACAGGAAAGCACGAAGATAAGTCTTTCCCTGAACAGCTCAATTTCATGAGCCGGATGATCTCTTGGGAGCGCAGCTGAGGCTCTAAGCGTGGACGAGGTTTCCAAGGCAAGTGACCGCGGAGGAGGAAGAGGGCTATGTAAGCTAAGGACTCGAGGTCATCACGCGGAGCAAGATCTACGGCGCAAGAATGAGTAAAGATATCACCAGAAAGGGTACTGTGCACTGGCCTACTCCATTGTGAGAATTCAAACTTGCCCAGTAGGGAGACCCGACGAGGGTTTTGCGATCCTTCAATGGGTCGTACTTATTAGGCGGACCATGGGAAATCGGCTTGGAGAGTCCGAAGTCAATGATTTTGATTGGCGAATCGTCAAGTGCGCAAAGAAGATTTTCAGGCTTGATGTCGCGATGTAGGATCCCGAGCGAGTGGATATGCTCTAGTCCTGCTAGCTGTGTGTCTAGTTCAGTTACTTCTGAGGTCTAACTTCGCGTCGTACCCACCACTTGATCCACTATTCGGATGACGGTCTTCAACATCAGACCAGTCCGAGCTCCATTCTTCTTTTGCTGCTCTGCAACGCTTGGCGCCAGAATCTCCATAGCCATGTATTCAAAATGCTCCAACTGTCCGTATGCATGCACACGGGGAATCGAGGCGTCGCCTTTTAAGAGTTGTAGGATACGAGTTTCGTACTGGAGAGTCGGTCGCTTCACTCTCTTCGAAACACGGGACATCTTGAGAGCCACCGTTTTTCCGGTTTCCACTTCGGTCGATTTGAACACAATGCTCTATTGTTCGGGTTAGTAACGGGCGCCGGGAGGAGCAGGATAATTGAATTCAGCTCACAGAAGCGCCCTCGCCCAAGAACTCTTTGCCGTAGGGCGCACGCTGGTACGTTAACCTGGCAGAGCTCATGCTGTCCTGGACGAGTCAGGATCTGGCAATCATAGATAAGTATATAATTAGAATTCAGAGACTACAACGTCACACTCGCCGTAGTCCTTTATGTAGCGTCTGTTTGAGAAAGAATTAGAATAAAATCATATGAAGGATCGGGAAAAAACGTGCAGAGAGAGTAGGACCATGTTACTTACGTTGTTGGGGCCGAGCAAGAGTCGCGCTGATGGCGTGGGAACTTCCGGCTTCTCATTTGTTGCCCACTTTATCGATGCTAATCCGGCTACTTGCTATTCCCCTTTGTGCGCCCGTAGTCTAGCCGTCATGCTGGCTTTTACCGAATTGAAAGGACGATGCGTACGCATCTCCCTGATCTTATCCTCCGATCGTTGCTCACTATTCCTTGTTTTCTTTAAGTTATCCGTTGCCAGCTACACGTTCCTCTGCGGCTGTCGATCAGTGAACCCTAGACCGTGCCCTTTCGGTTCGCAAACACATACATAAAGTGGTCATGACTTCGGGCGAAGAAGCTATCTTGTGGGGTGCGTGCAATCCTACTCGCAACCCATCTACGGACACAAAAGACATAGCAAATCGTCGTCCGTTTTTCGCACGGCTGAGAGCTTCCATTCATTTGTCGTAAGATATCGCTCTCGATGAGAATATATGACTACTTTCTTCTACTCTCTTACCAAATTTTGTAGAACCCTTTTCTAACCCTACAGCGCTGTGAGTTGGCGCACACTTCTGCATCTGTCTTTACAGCATTACTAATAACTACCATGCTCACACCCAGCGCCCGTCTCGCCGGCATCGTTGAAGTTTCCCGTGTACCGGACATCGAGAATGTAGTCAAGGGCTACCGTAGTTGTCTTCAAGCTCCTCGAGGTTTGTGTAACCATTTTTTGCCAATGCTGTCGCTAACTGTTGTGTTCTATAGCCAAGGGGGAGAATAAAGAGGATACCTAAGAGTTTTTTACAAGCATGGCCAACTCGATTATTGCCATCGACAGTATCGCTCCTATGCAAAGGTAACGGCGAGCTCCGTATTTCATGCATATTTGTGGAGAAATGGAAGGGTGGGTCATCGTCTTCATCGGTTGTCTTTCCTCAACGTCTACTCATGGTTTTCATGTTCAAAACACAGCGCACGATATCAAGGATATGAAGCTACTGTAGCCTTAGGCTGTTTATGGCCTTCGCAAAGTGGAAGACATGCATACCATAAAATCTATCCTCAAGTTATCGACACCCTTCCGGTAATCCTCGATAGAGTCTCAAGTTCCGTGGTGTTTCCACTGAGCATCTTTCAAATTGTCGGCTATGTTGGTGAGGTATCAGCTGTTGACACAGCATGCGAGAACTGTTATTGAACTTCCATCTCTAAACTATAGTCACAACTTGTCTTACAGTATTTAATCGCTCGTTGGCCTATTATAGTCGCTAGTCTACACATTAGTTAGATTGTAAGTTTCTATCACTTGATTGAGCCTTGGACTGCTAATATTATCGCCCCTGAATAGATAACGCAAAGGGGGAGCTTGAACTGGTCAAATAATCAAGATTAAGCTACTGCGACGGATGACTGCTAGGTAGCGAGGAGGAAAATCACTATCGATAAGACTAAACAATGCTCCGAGTTACTTCGGTAGCACTTTTACAACCAGTGGAGTACAGCTATCGAGAGTTTCCTTCTGCTCTGGGAGCAAGGTCAAATCCTTGTCTCGCTCGCCTTGACGATCCCATAACCATTCCGCGGTAACTGTCCTTACCAAGGTCTTCGTAAGCGACGTCGTAGTCTTCGCCTTCGGGAGGAATACCAAGCTGGGGCTCATCTACAAGACATGGCTTGAGTTGAGTAATGCAAGGTGTCCAATCCAGTAGTCCGTCACTCATCCCCTCAATCAAGGCCACAAATAAGCGCCTGAACGTCCCGTAGTCAGGAAGCTGATCAAATTCTAGTGAGCGGCTGTAATCAAGCAGGTCACCGAATTCAACGGGAAAGCCTGAAGACAAATCTTTGCCTGAACAGCTCGATTTCATGAAGCGAACAATCTCTTGTGAGCGGACATCGGGCTCTGAGTGTGGACGAGGTTTCCAAGGCAAGTGACCGCGGAGGAGGAAGAGGGCGACGTAAGCTACAGACTCGATGACATCGTGGGGAGCTAGATATACGGCGCAAGAATGAATGCCAGTATTACTAGAAAGGATACCGTGCACTGACCTACACCATTGTGAGAATTCAGACTCGCCCAGTAAAGAGACCCAATGATGGCCTTGCGATTCTTGAACGGTTTGTATTTGCTGGGCTGACCATGGTAGAACAGCTTTAACATTCCAAAGTCGATGATTTTGACTGTCAAGTTGTCAAGTGCACAGAGAAGGTTCTCAGGCTTGATGTCGCGGTTTACAATTCCGTGGAAGTGGATATGTTCCAGTCCAGCAAGCTGCGTTCCGATTCAGTTATTTAGTTTGAAGCCTGAATTCGCGTTGTACGTACCCCTTGATCCATGATTCGGACGACCGTCGGCAATATTAGACTAGTCCCAGGACTGTTCTTCTTCTGCTGGTCTCTGATGGTCGGCCCCAGAATCTCCATAGCGATGTACTCGAAATGCTCTAGTTGTCCGTATGCATATATAACAGGAATAGAGGCGTGGCCTTTCAAAAGTTGAAGGATACGAGTCTCGTGCTGGAGAATGGGTCGCTTCACTCTCTTCGAAACACGCGACATCTTGAGAGCCACTGTTTTTCTGGATGCTAGTTCAGTCGCCTTGAATACAATGCTCCATTATTTAGGTTAAGCGAAGGGACAGACAGGAGATTAAAATTTAACTGTTGAACTTACATAGGCGCCATCGTCCAAGGTCCCTCTATCCACATGCCGGTAGGTCAGCCTAGCAGAGCTCATGTTAGTGGTGTTGGAAAGTCGGGATCCGGTTAGGATCTGGTAATCCTGGACGCGGGAATCAAGTGTCTATCGTGCCCGATGTGAAATCGCGTCGGTGGCGTGGGAACCTTCGACTTTTCCGCTTTCATTCACTTTCTTCAATAATTCAGTCATCCGCGGTCATGCACATATTACCTGGCCATCATGTTGACACTAACATTGAGAGGAAACCGAAGAAATGGTGGCTTACTACAAGGGTTAGTACGTCCCGGAATTGTAGGTTGAGCCATGCGATTCGACGGCCCTCAGAGGAAGGACCGAGGCTTTGAAAGATGGATGAGGATATCAAAAACGCCCTTTGCCC